GCGGCGCCTTAAATATATGAGGCGAGGCGCGCCTCAGTAAACTTGAGGCGTAAGCCTCATAAACTGAACTTATTGCGTGGGCTTTGAGGCTTAAATGGACTAAATTGCGCTGAGGCGCGCCTCTTATTGCGCAATTTTAAACGTTGCTCTTAGGTTGCGGTTAGGCTTTCACAACAATGCTCAATGTTATCTCAATATCGACTTCCAATGTCATCCCAACATTAGTATTTCAAAACATCTTAACATCAAAGTTTGACGTCGTCTATAATTTCTACACCCACAATCATACCCCTGTGCCTTCTTGACATCTCATCTTGGTCCAATATCGTCTTAATATCAAAAACCAGCATTATCTCGAGATCGACACAATCGATGACTTATTGACATCAATTCGCTGCCCATTACACAACATTGATGCTCGACTGTCTAGAGTATTGTCGTCTCTCCTTTTGATGCCTAACACGACATCGACGTCTGACTCTCAACATCATAATATTAAAATATTTTAAGCACAAATCTTAATTAATTAATTTATTATTTCTTAATTATTCTTAATTTTTTTCTTATTTAATTTTTATATTTAAAATATAAAAATTATAATTCTGTGTCCAACCTTTATCCATGTCCTATATTTTCAATAATTGACATGCCTTGTGTCTGTGTCGTCGTGTCTGTGTCTGTGCATCATAATGAAAGATTTTGTAGAGGTTAATTTTTAAAAACTTTGCTTGTTGTGTGATAGAAAAGTACCCCTCAAACTTGAAGGAAAATTTAATAAGATGGTGGTGAGACATGCAATTCTTTATGGCACATAAAGTTGGCCATGAAAAGAGTCGTAAAATTAAGTAAAGGGTTGCAGAGATTAGGATGCTCCGGTGGATGAGTGGCATCACTATTTGTGACAAAATGTGACACGAGTATATAGACAAAAAGGTTGGAGTAGCTCTAGTGGCAGATATGGATTAAAGAGTCAACTTAGATGATTTGGTTACATAAAATGCCAGCCTTCCCATGACCGGTTAGGAGAGTAAATGTATTAGATTTGACATATGTAAAAAAGTAGTGGTAGATCTAAAAAAAATTAGTTAGAAAATATCAAAAATGACATTTTTTAATTAGATTTAAATGAGAATTTGACTCTTGAGATGACATAATGGAGAAAAAAGGATTCATATAGCCAACCCACGTAGTAGGACAAAAGGCTTGATGTTCTTGTTCTTGTTGTTTTTGTTGAAGATGAGATGGATCATGATAGCCATAAATATTAGAAGATGATTTATGTGATCTAGAATAACATAATTATACAACATTACAATTGTATGGCCTACAAATCCTAATATGAAGATGGAAATTATATTCATTATCATATGTGTATTAGCAAAGAGATTTGAAAGGTTAAGATCAACATCTAGAACCATAAGCTCCATTCTAATGAATATGAGAATGATAAAGATGATGTTCATGATATGTTAATGTTATTTGTTTAAGATAATGTGATTTCGTTGAAACTTTAGAGGTGGAGCTTTCTTTAAAAGTTTTTGGCAAGAGCTTCTTACTTTATCTAGTCATTGAGACTATGGTGTTTTTTATTTTTTATATTTTTTTGGGCGAGGGGAGTAGGTGGATTATAGTGATGGGCTATTATTGTTTGTCTTGGCTAACATGTAAGTTGATGTGAATAGGATGGAGGCTACAACTTTTGGTTCTCTTGCCCTCTGAGAGTCGACGAGTTTGAAATGAAGGCATGTGACAGAGGAAGATGATTTTGTTATAGGTTTTCCTATTGTGGAAAGCAAGAAACAACATTTCTAATGAAGTTCAATAGTTGTGAATGCTAGGACCAAGAAGCGAGGTTTTGACTAGGGCAAAGAAGCGAGGTTACAACTGTGTCTAAGGATTCAATCTTAAGGTCTTTATTGATTTAAGCTTTAGTGGAGGTTCAATATTGCAGGCCTATGGGTTGCAGGAGTTTTGGGATTCTAGGTTACAATTTTAATGTGGTTGTTATGTGAGTGCTTACAGAAGTAACCATGAGATGTGAGAGTTGCATATGTTTTTTTTTAATTATTTTTTATTTTTTACGGATAAGGTTAGGTGCAAAACTTGTGTTTCGATGAGGTTAAACCGTTAAGAAAAATTTAAACTATGTTTACTTTTTTTTTCTCTTTCATTTATTTTTCTTATTTTCTATTTTTTTAATATTTTTCCTTTTTTAGGTAAAATAAAATGTGTACAACTATGGGTAAAAATAAAATTAAGGAACGTGGTTTCAATTTTGTAAAAAGGGGGAAAAAAGAGGATGAGGGAATCGACCAAGGGTGTGGCGAAATCGAGGGAATCTAAAGAAAATACAAAGAAATCATCACACATCACTCTACCAAAATTGAAGTAGGAAAATTGTTGCAAAACAAGATATAAAATTTTAAGAGGAAGAATAGAGGATGAATGAACATCATGTACGTAATTCAGAGTGATCAACTTGGATCAAAGAAAAAAAAAAAGAAGAAAACCAAAGTTTGCCTCATTAAATAATTTATTCATTATTTAATCCTTCTAAAAGCCCATACAAGCAATCATATTTATAAAGAAAAAGAACCCTAATATAATGATTAAATTATCCTTATTTCTATTATTTAAAATAAGAATGAGATTATTTTATCAATATTGTATTTAATCAATCAAAATAATTTACAAAATTCGCCCAAAAATAAGGATAAGTTTAAAATTGCTTGAAAATGGTCTGTTCCTCTCCATTTGTAACTTGTATTGACTTAGTTTGTTTAGCCTCTAAGGAATTGGTTTTATTTGGGCTAAATTGGTTGAATGGTCTATCGATCTTCGTATGCATCATATCTCCTCTCTTTCTAACTGATCTTGCTCACCCCTCCTTCCCAACCCCCCGGTGCTTTGCTCAATGTGTAAGAGATTATAGTTTGTTTGACATTCATAACTATGGAGTTCTAAAATCTTGTAATACATCTTATAAGCATATTGAATGCTTTATTATCTTTTCAAAATTCATTGTTGTCAATCTTAACTCTGACTGAGAAAGGTTGATTATTGATTTGGTGATGTATATGAAATAATATCTGTAGTTATGGATTTGAATAGGTCATTGTGATAATATTATGATGGACGTGGGGATGGTTTCATTTGAAGATTAGGTTTTATGAAATAGACCTAAGTCATATTTGGCGTGGTTTTTTACGCATGGGCAAGTGGGAAAGCTGCCCACCCATGCATACATTGTTTGGGGCATACAACTACCCCTTAACAAGCCTTTAGGTGGCTTAGGTATTGAATGGATAGTTGAACCAGTACGGTGGGGAGAGAACTTTTACATTGTAGTTGCAGAACCAGGGAAACAATGTAGGTGAATGGAGTAGGAAGGAAAATTGTAGATTGAAAGTATTATGACTATAAATTGTGAAAATGATCAGTTCAAAGTAGAATTAACTAGATATGCAACACTGAATAGAAATGATGCTAAGAAATATTTAATAATGATGACACCAAATAGTTGGGATATATTTTTTACTCTGCTGCTACTGTTGAATGATGCTGGTTTATACCATCTCAAATAATACATTCTTAATCTATATGTTATATAAAGGTAAGATGAGGAGGAAATGAGTGGAAATGAAGTTTAATAATGATGACACCAAATAGTTGGGATATATTTTTTACTCTGCTGCTACTGTTGAATGATGCTGGTTTATACCATCTCAAATAATACATTCTTAATCTATATGTTATATAAAGGTAAGATGAGGAGAGAAATTATGAAGAGTGTGAGGGAAATGATGCTCTCTTTATTTTAGTTTTTAAAAATTTGAAAGAGAGCGAAAGAATCTTATAAATTAACATTGAAAATTAAAATTCTTGGATAAGATATTTTTTCTATTTTCAAAATTATTTTAAAAATAATTTAATTGGAATTTTTAGAGAATATTATTACATTGTTTTCAAATCATTTTGGCCTTCAAATATTATGGGGTTGTAATATTATGTTTTATAATTCATATTGATTGATATTTTGTTAATGAAGAAAACAGACAGAAGTGAGATACAAAATCACAAAAACTGAAATAATACTTGTATGACTTTTACAAAACGAGTTTTAAATGAGATGTCTGATAGGATCAACAATGAGTGATTGAGTTCCGTACCCAATTGAACTTTGATTCCATAAGTTGCCTGAAGGAATGTATCTTATCATGCCCATAAATATAGCTTATTTGCTCTTGCAGTGCAATGTCTTTTCTGGTTTGGTATAAAAAAGTAAAAAAAAATGTATTACTGTATGATAGTATGATCCATGGATGGTAGTTGTTAGCAAGTTATAGATTTATTCAAATGAAATGTAAACATGAGCTTCCATATGCATGGAAGGAAAACTTATTGGGGCTTATTATTTTGTTTCAGTTTATTTTGGAAGCATAGAGCAGTTATAATTGATCGGTAGGGGCATTTGTTTCCTGCAAATTGTTGTGCTTAACTAGAGGTGTGGACAAGCTTTAAGGGATATTCTTATGTCTCTGCTTAATAATAAGAATCTGGCCACATGTTTTTAAGTGTTGACATTGGAAATGTTTATAACATATCAAAAAGTGGAAAAAAGCCATGTGCCTTAATAAACGTCCACTCATCCAATTAATAGTGTTATTAGAGCCATGATCAGCTTATTAGGAGATAATAACTTTCAGAAAGTCATTCCCTTGGAGAACCAGCTTAAAGCCTTCTTGCAGCAAAGAAAAGCATTGTTTCTTGTAGAAAAGGCGGTTTCAATTTTGTGAAATTCATTTTAATAATTCTAATTTTGCTAGTAGTGTTTTGTTGATAAAAGATCTTTTGCTTCAGCTCTGAGCACTTGGGGCTTTCCAAATCTTATTTTCAATGAATTTTTTTATTTTTTGTAAATTTCAATCTTCAATGTTGAATTCCTTAAATTAATGCATCACTGCTTCCGTTCTTGTGATGGTGAATTGTATGCCATGCAGCATCCGCTGCAAAGACTGTGCCACATGCTAAGGCAGGTGTTTCTGGAACAGTTCAAGCATTGAACTATTCTGACATACCGAATTCCCAGATAAGAAAAGTAATATCTTCCTACTTCCAGTTTCAGGCTTTCAATTTTAATCGTTAGTAGATGGGCTTTTATCTTATTTTGTAATGCCTAACTGTACTTGTTCCAGGTAACTGCATCACGTTTGCTGCTTTCCAAGCAAACTATTCCCCATTACTATCTCACAGTAGATACTCGTGTTGACAAACTTATGCAGTATGAATCTTCTTTCTACTTGTGTAGCTAAATATTCTCTTTTAGTGCCTTGTGTCAGTCTTGCACTTGAGAAATAATCATTTACCTTCATTTCTTCTTATTAGACTACGTGGCGAGCTTAATGTTTTGCAAGAAGCTTCTGGGGGAAAACGTATTTCTGTCAATGACCTCATTATCAAGGTTTATTTTCTGTCTAAAATTATTGTATTCCCCGACTGAAATTGAGAGTCGTATTTGCTACTTTTATGGTGTCAATCTTGGCTTTGTGCAAATGTTAATGATACATGATAAGTTTACACATTTTTAAATGACACTCATTATACTGAATAAGTGAACGATTGCTTCTTAAAAGCCATCCCAAACGAAGCTTTTATTGCATATTTGTATTGCATGCCATATTTGCGTTAAAAATTCTGTTTTAAGAAGCAATAAAAAGCCGTCCCAAACAAAGACAAACTTTGCAGCGACATGCAAGTTTCACAGAACAAGATGCTATTAATTACACAACTATTTAAAGATAATGAAAGTCACACAAGTGATTGAAATTTTGTTTGCTGCAAAGATACTAGATTGTAACATATATGAAGAAACTAATCACACTTTCAACAATTTGTATAAGAGGAGGGATAAAGAGAGAGAGAGAGAAAGGAAAGGGGGAAAGAATTGACAAATAGCTAAATCTTATGCTTAGGCAAGATCGTCTCCTGAAGTATCTGTTTCGCTCATTGAAGAAGAATGGTTTACGCACTCAAAATTAACTTTAATTCAAGAAACGAATTGTTTTTCATCATGCTTCATAACTCTTATTACTCATATGTAGCATCAAATAGAATGGTATATGGTATTTGAAATAGAACTACCAGAGGTGAAAATGCAGAAAATCTGTGGGGAACAATTTGCTACAGGAGAATAAACTGCAAAGCTAAGCGGCATAACATTAGGATGAGCAAAACCAGCAGGGATTGCAAGAATTGACATAGATGAAACCCGCAAAAAGCATAGGAACGACTCCATGAATAGGAATTACAACCCACCTATGAGCCCACTTGGAATAGTTGCAAGAATAAGAGATGTTGCACTGCTTCAACTGGATAAGAATAACATCACGAGCATAGGAGTAGAAATTGTAGGAATATAATATAAAAGCTTTTACGTTAATAATTCTCCTTTGACTTGGAGAATTTGGCTGACGAATTGTAGAGTTGATATTCTTCTAATAGATATTGGCAATGGGCGTAAATGCATTGGTCTTTCTTTCTACTTTATAAGATTAGTTTATAAGATTATTTTAGATATTCTTCATTAATAGTGGCCTAGTGGGCATAATTTCATCTCCAATAATAACTTCATGAATTATAATAGCATGATTGTTTAGAAAATATATAGATGACGTATTGGATGTAAAATGGAGAAAATCCCAGAGAAAGTGTAAATAGAAATGAGTTCAAAGCATTGGTTGATGATTTCTGGCGTAAGTTAGATCGAATGTATCCAAATTGGGAGGATACCAAAGGTATTTAGGATGTTTAATTTGTATGCATTTTTTTTCTTAATATACAGTTTTTATGATTTTATTTTTCTTATTAGTGCCTAGGATTATTTTATTTTTACTTTGTGTACTAAAAGTTGTCATATTTGAATTCAATCATATTTTGTTAACTTTTTCTTTAGAATTAAAATTATTATAGTTAACAAAATTTTGGCAAATTTAATATTCCATTCATATATATGTTATGTAAGCCATACATTTATTGAGAGGTTTGATGGAGAAGTATAGAGAGAATAAGGAGGATCTTCATATGATATTATTGATTTAGAGAAAGCATATGATAAAGTTTCGAGATAAGTGCTATGGAGAGTTCTAAAAACGAAAGGGGTGAATAATGCTTATATTCGAATCATTAGGCATATGTGTGCTGGAGTTGTTACTTGTGTTCAAACACAAGGTGTTTTGACCAAGTATTTTTCAATTTTAGTTGGATTATCAAGGATCAGCCTTAAGCCCATATCTTTTTTGCTTTAGTTATGGATGTTCTTACTAGAGATTTGCAAGAGGATCTTCCCTGGTGTATGTTTTTTGCTGGCGATATTCTTTTTGCTGATAAGACTAAAGAGGGAGTTGAAGGTAAACTTGAATTATGGAGGTCAACCTTAGAGTCTAAAGGTTTTCATTTGAGTAGATCTAAAACCGAATACATGGAGTGTAATTTTAGTAGTAATAGATCTAGTGGGGGTTTGTGACTTTGAGCGATCAAGTCATTAATAAGAGTACACATTTTAGAATTCTTGAGTCTATTGTTTAGAGTGATGGTGAAATAGATGGGATATTATTAGTAGAATTCAAGTTGGATGGTTGAAGTGGAGGAATGCATTGGGCTTGTTGTGTGAATTGTGATAGAAAAGTACCACTCAAACTTAAGGAAAAATTCTCTAAGATGGTGGTTAGACCTACAATGCTTTATGGTGCATAATGTTGGCCATTAAAAGAGAAGCATAATATCAAGTTAAGTGTTGCAGAGATGAGGATGCTTAGGTGGATGAGTGGTTTTACTCTTATTAGAGACAGGAATATGAAACGAGCATGTATGTGAAAAGGTTTGAGTAGCTCCAGTGTTAGATAATATTAGAGAGAGTTGCCTTAGATGGTTTGGTCACATAAAACGGCAGCCTTCCGATGACCCTTGTCAAGATAGGTAGAGATAGACCTGAAAAGACTTGGTTAGAAAATATCAGAAATATCCTTTCTTTATGAGAATTTGACTCTTAACATGACATATTGGAAAAAAAGGATTCATGTAGTCGACCCCATGGAGTGGGATAAACTTGATGTCGTTGTTGTCGTCGTCGTCGTCGTCATATGTATGTAATATAAAAAAAAATTGAGTAAATTCACCCGTCTCAAAAAGGCACGAATCTTGATATATGGATGGCTTGTTGTCGTCTTTTGTGGTAGGAAAAATAGCCAATGAAAAGTAGTTCATTTGGATTAGAACCTTTTCAAAATTCGGAAATCATAATTAAATTTTTGATTGGAAAAGAAATTTTTTTTATAACAAAAGCAAAAAATCATAAACCGCCACAAATGAATCGTAAATCTATGGGTTTCTAGGTTGGAACTCGATAGCCATTTCAAATGAACTCGTTTTTGTAGGTCTAGTGATAGTTGAACTATATGCAAAAGAAACTATTTCTAGTATAGATTCAGTATCATAGAAAATTATGATATGTTAATATGAGAACTGTGAAACATTACTGTTTTTCTGACTTGTGTACCTTATACTTTCTGCTAACATTTCCTTTCCTTAGCACTGATGAAAAGACCAGGCTTATAACCGATAGCATAGCATTTTGGGGCGATCTATTTTGCTACAGCATCCCATGAATGTTCAAAATTGTTTTATTGCCAATCTTGAAGATTAATTGCGTTTATGATATTTTACAATGCTCCTCTATTTAGAATTATGAAGTCTCAGAGTGCCAATGAGGCTTAATTCTATCCTCGGAGTTCTGCATTTCATTTGTTGTTTTTTTCTCTTTTCTTTTGCACAGGCTGCTGCTTTGGCTCTTCAGAAGGTTCCTCAATGTAATAGTTCCTGGATGAATGACTTCATCCGCCAGTAAGTCATTGTAGATCTTTATTAATTCTGAGGAGTTCAGAGAGTTGTTTGTCGAGATAAATACCTTGGTTACTAATGCAGGTACCACAATGTGAATATTAACGTAGCCGTGCAAACAGACAACGGGTTGTTTGTGCCAGTTATCAAGGTATTTTCTGCATTCTCGTCACTGTGGTCCTCAGCCCTTTTTTCTAGTTTCTTCTGCCTTTTAACGCTGAAATGATGTTGCAGGATGCAGACAAAAAGGGACTATCAAAAATTGCTGAAGAAGTGAAGAATTTGGCTCAAAAGGCGAAAGAAAGTACATTGAAGCCTGAAGAATATGAGGTGAGGAACCATACATTACTTTACAGTCAAGCCTTGGAAAAATTATTCTGTGCGGAGTTCAGACTCCAATGAAAATGCGTCATGTCCGATACCGAGCTTGGTACTGAGCAGTACGCCAGTACCTAACCATAAACTGGGCGGTTCTCCCGTCCAGAGTCCGCACAGAATAATTTCTCCAAGCCTGGGATAACCTGTCTGCGGTATGTTACTGAAATTGCTTTTATTCAGGGTGGTACTTTTACGGTTTCAAACTTGGGAGGCCCATTTGGAATCAAACAATTCTGTGCTATAATAAATCCCCCACAATCATGCATTCTGGCTGTGGGCTCTGGTGAGTCTGTAACAACAATTTTGCATTTGTTTTTTTTGCTAACAAACGTATAATTAATGTTTGCCATTTTAACTGCTGCGGAAATTTGGACCCATTCTGCTTCTTGACTTTGGAAAAACCTCTTTTCAAAATATTTTCTTACTCCTTTGCAAGCAAAAGCAAATGATATAAACTATATTGATTTAGAAAGATTATTTGTTTCTGGAGCAGCTGAGAGGAGGGTAATTCCCGGTGCTGGTCCCGGCGAATTTGAATTTGGTTCCTTCATAGCCGTCACCTTGAGTTGCGATCATCGGGTGGTCGATGGTATGTGTTAAATATGTTAAATTAAGGTTTTGTTTGGGATGACTTTCTTGCTACTTCATAACGCAATTTAGTACAAAAATTTTAATTTTGGTACTAGAAAGCTGATTTACGAAGCAGTAAAAAAGTTGTTCCAAACGAACCCTAAATTTCGCTCATTGTAATAAACTTGATGTGCTAATCTCTGCTTTATGTTTTAGGTGCCATTGGTGCAGAGTGGCTCAAGGCATTCAAGGGCTACATAGAAAATCCAACCTCAATGTTGCTCTAAATTTATTAGTTCAGCAACAATTTTTTTGTAGGATCACAAAATAAGGTAACCCAGACCCTTCTTGATACATTTTGTGTTGTTCATTATTTCTTTTCACAGGCATGATATAAATTAAATTTGGCCTTAATGAGAACCTTAAGGACTTTAGATAAATTATGGTTTTGAGTTCTTTCTTTTGTGTTAAGTAATGCTATGTTATCTGGGGTGAATGTCCATATGAGCAGAGGATGAATGACCAGACTAGTTGATGACAATTTCAAATATGTTTTCCTAATTGATTCTTTGCTTATTGAGAATATTTATTATTTGCTTTTGCATTCTTTGGTTCTCTTTATTTTGTTTTGTTGTGTTTATGGCTTCGTTTGAGACGACTTTCTTACTGCTTCTTAAAGCTACTTTTTAGTATAAATTTTTTTATTTTTTATCCTAAAAAATGGCTTTAAGAAGCAAGAAGAAAGCAGTCCCAAATGAAACATTAAGCTTGATTTATTGACAGGGATGGCTTTAAAATATAACATTATAGTCCTTAGGGAAATGCAAAGATCTAAAATTCAAATTTTCTCACATTTCACATTTATTTTTATATGAATTAAATTTTGAATGCAATGTTAGCTTTCTAAGATGAGTAATGGTGATCTCAGTATCTTTGCATTCTATTTCAGTACCTATTTGTTTTGGTGAGGATTTTTTTTTAATTATTTTTTATTCGCAGTCGTATTCTTTGCTTCATTTGATAGGTATAATATAATAATATGAAGAATATGATATTTTGAAGGATCAAATGATCTAAAAATTAAAAGTTGAGTGTTGATTGTAGATCATATAAGCATGATTGTTAATCTGTCTCATGTAATCAACATTGAGGCTTCGTTTTGGACAGCTTTTTTTATTGTTTCTTAAAGCAGTTTTTAGTTTAAAAACTAAAAATTTTATATTAAAAAATTGCTTTAAGTAGTAAAATAGCCGTCATAAACGAAGCCTGAATCTCATAATCAAAGCATATATAGTTTTTGTTGATTTTTAAAGCAATTTTTTTAGTATAAAAATTTTTGAATTAGAAATTTTGTACTAAAATTTTACTTTAAAACCATGAAAAAATTTATTTCATATGAAATTATAATGAGAGTTGTCAAAAAGATAAATGGGGAATGTTATTAGAATGGAGATCATTGTCACAACTTAAAACATGAAAGAAAAATAGGACATTTGGAGAAATAGTTACATTTTTCTGATTTGATTTCAATCAAATTTGTATTAATGGGAGTTGATTAGATACCTAATCTGTTAATTAGTGTCTTGATTGTGATGTCTAAACTGAGAGCCATCATATGATTTCAAACCAAAAAAAGATTATATAATATCCAATCTTCTTTTCTCTTGTATCCATATCTAAGGTTTTATATCAATATAGTTATTATTATTATTTTTATAGCAATTTTTTAATATAATTTTTTTAAAGAAACGGTGAAAAAATAGTGATCAAAAGTTATACCAAATTAAGATTTTGTTTGGGATGTGATTTTCTTACTATTTTTTTAAGTAATTGTTTTAGTATAAAATTTATGAAATTTAAATATTTTTGTACTGAAATTTTGCTTTAAAAAGCAATAATAAAATAATGATCCCTCATCTTGCTTTGCTTCAGCAGACTCTCTCAAGCATAAAAATCACATTTTTTGATAAAAATGTATTTTATATTTCTTTTCAATCTTATAATAACATATTTATACAATATAATGACATGAAAGTGCTTGAAATAAGTAAAAAAAAAGAAGATATTAATGAAGCCTAATTTATCATCCATTGCAAAATGACTTAGTGTTAGATTTTTTAATGCAACTACTACAACAGACATCATGATTTCTTGCAAAGGAAAAAAAAATCATGAATTAGACTAAAAAAACTTAAATATACTTTCTTTATGTTAAAAATATGTGATAGGGGAGCTTAAGCCCCATTAATTATAAGATTTATATAAGTATCTAAGAACTTTAACTAGTTTTGAAAAGAAAATTAGCAAGCTAATGCATTAAGACTTATAAAATAAAAATTTTCCCATACCATTTTTTGAATCAAGAGCATTAGACCGGTTAATAATTGATATGTCACAAAAAATTGTCTTGATCGAGCATGAATCTCAAGGCATATCCAAATTTGAAACGTCTGAAATTAAATTGGGACCATCGAAACTCCAATTTCAATAAACTTATAGTCAAATTGAATATCTCAGAGAAACGAACCCAGTGATAGCAAAATCGGTCCAATCCGAGTCCAAATAGGTCCAAATCAAGGGATCAAAGTGTTTGGACGGTTCAAGTCATTAATTGGATGGTCAAATGATTTCTAAATATGACATGCTTATAGTCAAATTGAGTGGCTCGATGCGAATCCACGAATCCCAGGATCGCTTAATTTTGATATATTAAGGCACTTAAATGCTTAAAAAAAGTTTCATGATCGGGGGAATCAATATGGGTCATTCAATAGAGCACTTCGAACTTGCCTGGAATTTTATCCATATTTATAGAGTGTTCCACTCATATAAATCTATAAATAAAACCCTCACATTCTACATAAATGGGACCTTTGACTAGAGATTGGAAAGAGCTCTGAAGTTTCAAGTGTTCCAACACCACTGTAATCGAACCTCTATCAACAGTGTCTGGACCACCGACAATTGTCGGACCACCACCTATCCATCTCTCCAAACTATTGTAATCTCACAGTTTCCAAGTTAAGGGACATGTCAAGTTTTATAACTTACTCAACTACAATGGAATCTTCTCATCCGAGCAAGGTTCCATGGTTTTACCCTTTTTGAATTTTTCACGTAAAAAGTTTTGGTGTTTTCTCGCTCTCTCAATTATATATTTGTGTGCTCATATCCGTGCATCGTAGGACCAAATATTCTCTCACTCTATCGCCGTGAATATACTAGCCCGCAACAATAATATATTATGTAAAAAAGATAAAATTAAATTATCAAAACTATGCCTCAAACTAATACAAGGAGATGATATTTCTTAGAGCCAAGTCTTCATGTTTGTACCCCCCTCAAAATGATCATACATGCAAATTGATTCATAAATTTTTTTATTCATAACAATGTGTTGATAAACTCATAATATATGTCACACAAATACGCAGCAGAAAATAATAAAAAGTTGTCTCAAAATGAAGCTTTTTTTATGAAGGGAAAATTCATCAATTACGCAGCTTGGGAAATTCGGCTCTATCTGATCAGTGATCACTGCCGTTGGTTCTACACTTACTAGAATGACTAAAATACCCTGTGCGGAACCTGTTGCGACGGAATTAGGGTTTCCTTGTGCGCAACTTTTATAAATTCGCAGTGAGACCCTCGGAGCCGCCCATCTATTAGTCGAAAAGAGCGATCGGATAGGGCTTCGGATTTTGAGAGGGAGACGATGAGGGCAAAGGTGAGATGTTCCTGTACGTTCTTTGTGAAATGAAGCTCTTAAGGATTTCGTTGCGCTCTATTTTTCCCTTGTTGATGTTTTATCTTCGGTTAGATCACGTTTTCCGGGCTATTTGATTCTTTTGGGCTTCCTTTTGTGCAGAAATTTTGTTTTTGCATATTGCATCTGTCGATTTTTATGCTTCTTTTGTGCAGAAAGCAGTTTTTGGTACAAAAATTTCTTGAACTAGAAATTTTTGTACTAAAAAGCTGCTTAAGAAAGCAGTAACAAAGCTGTCCCAAACGAAGCCTTGATTTAGACAATCTATTGTTCTGAGCAAATATATATCATTATGTCGTTTTTTTAGTTAAAGGGTTTACTTTTTACTACCACGTAATCTTCCTGATTACTCAGTTTTTTTATTTTTTTATGCCATGAATCCTCTAGCAGTTCTTTATGTCTGTTGCAAGGTCTGAAGAACGTCGAGAAGCTTTATTAATAAGAAATTAATTATTGATGTTATGGTTTTTAGTTTTTAATGCAACAATTGGTAGCCCGTTTAAATGTTGAATTATTTGTACTGCATATCTTATAGTTATTTTCAACGTTTTTGCTTTTTGGATTGTGTACCAGTAAGATTGATAACTTAATATATTTAGATTTAATGATTGAAAATATAACTATACACAGAATGAGAAAGATAATTGTATCTTTGTTTCTATTTGTGGAATATAGATCAACTTTGAATTTTTGAATATGTTCGGACAAGACCTAGGATTCATTGAAGTAATGTATTTACTGCTAATGTAAATGTAAGAAAAATAGAAACTTGTGAAGTTCTTCATCTGATCAAACATGATCCCGATATAGGTTAATGGCCTAATTTGGTTAATGGGAAATATATTGAGCTCCTACAAGTTTGGGGAGTGGTTATGGTACAGTTCAAACAGCGTTTTCAGGAGGTTATTTGATTGATTTATACTCCTATAACATAAAAGGAATGATTTATTTTGAAACCCAAAAGTGAAAAGGAAACCCATTAGTTTAACAACAAAGAAGTCAAGTTGATAATCTAATGTGGATGTGTTGTAAAATTAGAAAGAGTATGGTGAGAAACGTTTATAATAATGAGAGCAATGAGAGTATCATCCATTTAAGATACAATAGTGAAAATAAACTTCAATTATGCATATAAAACAGAGGGAAGAGGATTCATCATTACTAGGTAGAGTGAATTGACATTGAGAATTTGGGAGGTGTGACAAAGTTTGATGGCCAGAGGTTGTTCAAAAATGAATCAGGAAAAATAAATGCAATACCTAGTGTAGCCTATGCTATGGAGGACTCCAAATTCAATGATTGTGAAGAGAGCATATATATGTCAAAGATGGTGTTGATAACAGTGAATACTAGTTTATCTCTAAACCATAAATGCTAAAAACCTAAAGTTGTTTTACCGTGTTTGGTTATTTAAGAAACTATTTTGCAAGATATTTTTATTTGAAATGCAGCAGAACTTGGAATTATCCAACATAAGTTCATCTTATTATTATTTGGTAAGTATTATTTTATCCTACATAATCTCATGTATTTATTATTTTGTACTTTTCAAAACTTTTCCTTATTAGGCCATCTCCAACCTAAAAACTCATTTTCCATTCCAAAATGCAATAACTCATTTCCAACTAAACTCCATTTCTAAACACTATAAAAAGAATATTCTATGTATATTCTACCTTATATTATTTATACTAATTTTAATCATATCTTTATATGACAGTAAACAAATATGTTGGTGAACAATACAACATCATTATTGGGTCGCATTGTTCACTTTGCGATATTTAGCGTGGGATTTGATGTTCTGTTGGAGCAGGCGACTGCATATGAGCGTGTGTCGCTCTGTGGTTGGCGATGATTATACTAAGTTCAACTGATAACTTGTATCCATTTCCCTTTTAGAACCTTACTTTGGGGGAGCTCCATGTTTTTGCTCAGTGCCTAAGATTTAGTAGTCATATAATTTGAGGGCATTTGATGCCTTTGATAAAACTCATTCTCAGTAACCTTAGCTTCTAAATTCAATTCTGCTTTGCTTTTATAATTGAAATGCCGTAAAACATTACAAATTAATTTCTTTGACTGGAGATCAATCGATTTAGTGATTGCCTACTGCTTTTGAATTGAAGATTTTACATTCTGCAATTAAATTTTCCAGTTGTTTGCATAGTTTAGTTATATATGGGTTCTCTGTAATTTTATTTTCATTTTGATGTTTTCGTTAAAATTTACATGTTTCTCTGTATTAATTATAAATATCCCATGACCTAATTATTCAGTGGAAGAAGAAGAGAATGAGGAGGCTCAAGAGGAAGCGCAGAAAGATGCGGCAGAGGTCCAAATAATTTGGTGAATGCAAGGAAAACCTCTGCTTCTTTGCTTTGCTGCTACAAGTTTGGTGAATCCTTTACACAGTTTTCAGCATTAGGCGAGACTTGAACTTAAACATTGCTGTTGTTGTGAACTTCTACTTATTTTGCTTAAAAATTCTGTCTTTGCTATTGACCATAGAGTGCATCATCGCTTCTGTTCTGACCCTCACAGTTGTTTTTTGTTTACTAAATTTGGGTTACATCTTGCTTGCGTTAGCTTTCTTATCCGAATTTCTTGATATCAGCGGTTAGTTTTCTAGGCAGTGCAACTGTAAGTTTTCTCAAATGACGTTAGTTGATGAGTTCTCAAATTATATTGTGGGCTGAGTTAAGTTGGACTTGAGCCATCTAGTGGCTATCTAGTTAAAAGTTAATTTGTTATGAAAATGTACATACAAAGGAATGTTTTATGCTGCTTCTTTAGGAAATGCACTTTAATTGCATTTTTGTTTTTTGTCTCTCTTGATTGTTTTGCGTAATGAAGATGATTTTTTTAATCTAGATTATCTTAGGCCGATCTAGGAGGGGTCGACTGAACCGGTCCAACCTGGACTAGTTCTCTGCTACAATAGGCGGCCCAAGCCAGGTGGGGGGTGGATGCCCTAGTGGGCCAAATTACTTAATGTAATTGTTGTTTAGGAAGAACAGTTTGAATTAAGGGTTGTTTAGTTTTTTTGTAAGAGTCCTTTGGCTTTAAATTAATCTTTTTGGCTTGGGTTTTGTTTTTCATCTTGAATTTGGAAGATATTTGAGATCTAGGGTTTGTTCTAGTTAGACTGTAGGCTTTGCTAGAGATTTAGAGAGTTGTTTCTTCCTCTAGAATTGAAGCAACTTGTTGTATCTTGTATTATTTGTCTTGTTCATGAATTGAATAGAAGAAATTTTCATCGTGTTCATGGTTTTGCTGATTTCTCTCCGAAATCAAATCAAATATTGATAGGTTTGCTTGCAAACTCAAGTATTTCCCCTTAGGGTTACTTGCAAACTCAAGTACTTCCTATCAGATTCCAACCTAATATGCTCGATTGTTTTATTTTTTATTTGATTCAGTTTTTCACAATTCTCTCTTAAGTCTCATCATCTTCCTCCCCTTTTGTCTTTCACGCCCCCTTTCAAATGTTTTCTGGTTTCATGGTCTATGATTAATAATAAACATGTCTGAAATTTCCTGTTGATAAAGCCTAAACTTCTCTATGAGGCTTCATGTAATTTTTGAATTTTATTGCCTTCTTGATTTCACACTACTTTATTGGTAGTTTTCTTTCCTTGTGATTGAAATTCAAGGAATGAATGTTGCGTTCTTTTGAGATTTGATGATGTCAATGATGAAGACTTTATTTAATGTGTCTGAGATAATGATTACAGCTAATCTACTGCCTTCCTTCTGAGACATCCATCTGTTCATATCTCAAGTGCAAGTTTTCTCTTTTTTGTTTCACTAAATATGGTTTTTCAAAGTGGGAGCCAAATGGGAATGGTCACATGATGATTTGTGCATAGTTCAAATGATAATCATATCAGATTGTTGATTAAATTATTAGTTGTCTTTCGCTCCTATCTGATGACCTCCCCTCATCTTCCATCATTTTATTTAGCTCGACTTTCTATGAAATTGAGCAATTGACAAATTTTGTTTTATAATGTTTTCCATCTTTATTTCTATTAGTAAATATACTCTTTATATTGTTTTAGTTTAAAACAGTGAGTTGGAGGCCGACGGAGTTCTCGTAGCCTGTTTTCATTACTTAGGTTTCGTTTGGGAGGGCTTTTCTACTGCTTTTAGGGCAGCTTTCTAGTAAAAAAATAAATTTTGTTCTAAAAAATTGTTTTTAGAAGCATCAAGAAAGTCACACCAAATGAAGCTTTAGACTATTATGTTTATTCTTTTGCCAAGGGAAGAATTAATTATTCTATGCTGACACAAGGCGTAGTCCACATCACCTTGTTGTGTTCTCTCTGTGTGCCGGGTGATCTGGCACGCTCTGATTGTCTCCGGACATAGAGCTACTTATGGTGTCTGCATAGAATAATTTTTCCAAGGGAAGAGGGCGATGATGATTTCCAGGTCTCGTTCGTCGTAACGGTGAATCTGCCTTGCCGACCATCCTGATATATCACCACCCATATTCTGAGTCCTATGTTTTCTTCCCTAAATTTTCTCTGATTTTCATATCAGGTCTACTTCTGGGTTTAGTTTTCTTACTTGACTTAACATTTATGTCTTTGGATCCAATTTCTTGATCTGAGGCCAATGATTAAATTCATTCATGACAAGCATATGTCTGAAGATTCTTGTGGAAAATGCCTAATCTTCTCTATGAGGCTTCAAGGAAAGTTTTATATTCTTTTATTTTTTTCTTGATTTGTGTATTATTGAAATTCAAATAATTTAAGTTTCATTTCATTGGAATTTTGATGGTGTCAACTTTATTTAGTTGGTCTGAGTTCTAGTGATTATAGAGATGCCATTGCCTGTATTTAGAGGTTTGTTTGGTTGGCTTAAAAAAATTCAGTGTAATAGAATTTTTTTTTTAATTTGTTTGGATGAGTGTAAAGTAAATATAGATGCAGAGGTTGGTGGTGTTGGAGGCAATCAAGGGAGCTTGCTTGAATTGAAAATGATGCTCGCTCAAAATTAGGCAAGTTTAGTTTACTTAACACAATGAGCTAAAATAATTTACATTGTCTTCCCACTTTTTTGATTTCATATGTATGTTTTTTTATGTTTTGAATGAGAAATTTAAGAAAATGCTTGTTAGTTTATCAATTGTAAGCTATTTTATTCTTTTTTTTTTTGGAATGTTTTAAGTAATAACAATATATTTGGATATTTAAAGCTATTTTTTGTTAAATTTAAGAAAAAAATAGCTTTAAATGTGACTAATAAGATGATGGTGATTAGTATGAGAAAGTATTATTTGTTTGCCCTTTGATTTTTTTTGGAATAGCCTTCTTGTTAAAGTAAAAGAAAATGTTGAACTTGCTTTCACATGTTCAGTAATCCAAGAGAGGAATGAATATCCACATCAATAGATATAATGTTAAGCATGCTAAAATTAGTTGCAACATATCTCTATTGATAGTCATCAATTTTTTATGAAAAAGAGAAATGGATAATTATTTAGCAAGCCAATCTATGGTAACAATGTTGTGTTCATTTATTATGAAAAAGAGATGTAATAAGATCTTGTTGGGTTGCAGCCTTGAACATAGGGTAGGAAGTTGTAATAAGATGTGCAAAGGGAAGTTGCTAAGGATTTAGGCCTTGTTTGATTATAAAATTCTATTTTCTCGCTTTTAATGGAGCTTTTAAAATGGCAAATGGAGAAAATAATTTCTTCTTTATTCTGTAAAAATATGGAGATTCACTGGAAATTATTTTGAAGATGAATTAAAAAAAATGTTGCAGTAAAATGAATATTAAAAAAATGCTCTCATTCAAGTTTATTTCTCATCGTATTCAACTCATATTCGATTCGTATGTGCTTATAGAGCTTTAAATAAACAGCTTGTAAAAAAATAATAAATGAAACTTTAAGTATCAAGTTTTATTTTTGAAATAGTATTAGTTTATGAACAAAATTATATCTAATGAATATATCCTGTGAATTTTTTTGAGCTCAAACTATCGAGCATTTTTGAGTTTAAAAATAAGTTAGCTTGTCGAAGCTCATAAATTAATATGTTTAATAAATGATAATAAACACAACAATATAATAAACATAAATAAACACAATTTTGATATATTGGTTGAGAGTCTTGACTATTAATTAATAAATCTTAATATTGAAATTTATATATGTCAAATTTAAAAAAATAATAGATTTTATAATGTTTAATTAATTTTAAAATTGATTATTTAATAATTATTATGTTATTGAATTAAAATAATTATAAAATACTCATTAAATTGCTTGTCATTTTCATTAGGCTTAATCAAGCTCCATATTGAACATTAATTAAATTTCTTAACAAACTCATTCACAAACTTTGTATAGAATATGAATCAAACTTCTTTCCAAACTTAATATCGAACTTCTTATAAGTTAGTTTATGAGCATTAAATAATGTTCACAAATATAAACAAGTCAAACATACATCTCTTCAAGTTCGTTTATTAAGTCATTGAGTACTTAAAAAAAAAAATTCAAACTCATTTAATTATTAAAATAAGCGATCATGAAAAAATTATACTATGAGTAGTTTGTTGAACTCTTAAGTTCATTTGTAACCCTAGCCCTTGATAGAATGATCTATGATTGAGAGAATCAACTTAGATTGTCTAATATATTGTTTTGAAATTTTGATTAAACTTAATTTTATGATACTTTTAAAAAATTTTGAATATACCCTCAATCTTCATAAGAGAATGACAATGGACTAAAGATTAGAAAGAATTTGGAGATCTAAAGAATTTTAGAACTCTATTTGACATTAGACAACCATAATCATTGCTAACCATCCTGTCATCCTTTTGCCATCATCTGATTACCATCAGTTGATCACTATCGTATGAGCACTACCACCTAATCATCATTATCTAGCTGATATTGCCTGACTATTAACATCTAATCAATTTTCCAATCATTATCATCTGACTACCATTGTTAAAACATCATCACCTGATCATCGCAACTTAAATGACATCACCCAATTGGTATCATCCAACAACCATTACCTATACACCATCAATCTCTCCACAATCATTGCCATCATTTGACTACCATCATTCAATTATTATAGCGTAACCACCATCATCACCACTTTTCCAAAAATTTCTTCTACAAACACATGAGATCAACCTATCTAATATTGTGCCCAAAACTTTGAGCAGATGCGTGCATTCCTATAATTTTTATAAATATAAGGGATCATTTCATTTAGGCTAAACTTTGAATTTTCTTTTTTCAAAATTTCCTCGAATGAATTTGTATTTTCATATTTTTATCTTTTATTTATGTGTGCTAAATCTTCATACAAAACTTAAAAGTAAAACTTCGTTCATCGCCGCAAATGTGCTGGCATGCAAAAAGAATATCTATATAACCTCTTTTGCTTAGTGGCTCTGAATTCAATGCAACTAGCATAATTTTAATGATAAATAGCCCCACTCCAGTACATCCATTGCCTATCACTCAATCAAGATATTATAACAAGCTACATCCAGGCAAACAATTAGTCCCAACTAAATGTCCAGATTATGGTAAAATTTTGTTTTTAATAATCAAATCTAAGACAACATAGCCTGACAATTAGTCTTCAGAGTTCAGACTACGTTAGTTAGCCTGAGATACTAAAGTAACAAAAACAATAATCAACATAAAAATTCTAATTTTAATTTACAGTTAATGAGAAAGGATGACAGTTAAGGATCAGTAAAGCTTCCAGCTTTGCTGGGCGGAGCCCCGTGAACTAAAAGGGTAATAAATAGGAAGAACTTCAAAGTTCCATATAATGAGATTTGATCAACTAACCGTATAGCTTCGATGCATTCAAGGAATAGAGTTTCCACGTCCATCCTTAAGGCTCTGCAGAAACGAAACGAACATATTAGCCAACCGATGCATCAAAAGAGAAAAATTTGAAGCAATTTTCTGATACAAACCAATCGTTTGAAGGAATTTCCTTGGGCCAGCTTCTTTGTTCTTTCCATCTCTGGTTTTGCGCGATCCAACGCCTGCAGCACGCATATAACTGTGATATTTTTCAAGGTAACATCAAAATAGATCATGTATGCTTTTCTCTTTAAAAAATTCAAACATTGTTTTGAATATATTAAGTTAATAGAGTTGGAAAACTTAATTGTTTAAGTGAAAACAATTGATGATAAACCCTAAATTGCTATTAAGTTGATTACTGATGAGAATATTACAAATGTAGTTAGTGTTTAGGGTCATCAAATAAGGTTACAGGATAATTTGAAAAAAAATATTTTTGAGAAGTTAATGCATGAATTGCTGCAGCATAATTACACAGGTGATTTAATTGAACATGAAAATTCTAATAAATTAGACTATGAAAATAATTCATAATAAATATAGAAGAGATAAAAATATGATGAGAGAAGCTATACTCGCTTTTGTGAGATCATATTATCTTGCAAAAGTGAAGAAAAGTGTAGTTAATTGCCCTGTAAAGTAGAACCATCAAATCTCAATCTCAAATAGAGCTCTTTCTACTCAGAAGAAAAGAAAATACAAATTACAAAAATTGTATGGTAATTTCCAAAGAAAGTTGGACCAACTAATATAGATTATAATAATGATAAAAAAAAACTGTCCTAAAAGATGGTAGAAATTGGAAACGAACAATGGGGCGTCTGCCTAACCACCGGAAAACAATTGGACTGGACTCCCCTACTTCAATTGGACTCGAACTCTCAAAGTATATCAAGAGAAAGGCTGCTCTTTTAGGCAACTACTTGAATCGCGTCTTCGAAGAAACTATCGCCTTTCACTTGTCTAAGTGAAACTATCGCCTTAAAATGGATGAGTTTGCTGGATTTTTTTCTTTCGATCATATCTACACCTCATATTGATCCGGGTTGCTAACTCAACGGTAGAGTGTTCGAAATTTCTTCGTTCATACCGAACCGCTTGCAGAGGCAACAACAGAACAGGGGTTTCGACGGCTTTTCTCTTCAACGAGGGGAATTCAGACTCAGAGGCCAAATTGAATTCAAGTACTGGTTTCAGCTAGAACTTCGTGGTCTACAGTCGTGAAGGTGAGACCATCGGAGGTCATCTTAAGGTTCTCGAATCCCATGTCAAACTTCCGAGCCTCGGGCAATGGAAAGTCTTCACTGGGTACCTTTCCTTTATAGGTACCATCCTGGTGCTGGCTGTAGCCGTGGGAGGTGGGGCTCTACCAAAAAGCATGCAACGACACAATCAACAGGTGAGCCCTTACCCGCACTCCGAAGGCGACCGTAATGGGCCAAACTCTGGGCCTCACCAATGATGGGACTATCATAACAAGGATATCACTACCGCAGGAATAGTATATCCCGGGACAGCCACTACCACGGTCACTTTTCAGTTTCTATTTTACCTTTCTGTTATTGCACGTTCTTCTTATTCCCTTTATCTTATTTCGGGAATAGCCCATGCTGTAGCTAGAGGAGTATATACATCCTCTCAGAAATTACTCACGGAATGATATTGATAATAGAGTATTCTACCATTGCTACTGTTCCATTGGTTTTCCTCTGTTTTCCTAACCCTCTTGCAGGTTGTTTCCGACTCTCCTCCGCTGAAGGCCCTAGCTCCGGCGATTCAGTGTGGAAAGGTACATCAGGTTGGTATCAGAGCGAGTGACTGGGTAATGGCTGCAGAGAGCTCTCGTAAGGTTCCTGACGAAGATCGGAGCCTGGATGCCGTATGGGCAGCGCAAGCTAGCATCAATCGGCAACTCAACGATTTGAGGGCGGACTTCTTCCGCCTATCCACGGACCTGCGTAAGGATATGATCGATCTAAAAACCTCTATCGGTTTAGCTCTTGGACAAACTCAACAACCTACCACCACGATACCGACGCCCAGAGGTCCACAACCTAGAACAAGGCAATGCAGGATGCCTGAACCAGCTTTGAGAGAGATTGTGGAATCTGATGAAGAAGGTGAGCCTCAAAACTACAATGAATTTTCTGATTCTGGAAATGACGGTCCCTTCCAGTATTACGAACGTCCGAGACCTCGCAGAGCAAATCACGGTCACGGTGGCCAAGGGGAGTTTAGTATTAAAATGGACATTCCTTTTTTTGAAGGAAGATTACATATCGAGGATTATCTCGATTGGGAACGAGCAGTTGAGGCGTTTTTTGACTATATGGAAATCAGTCCAGAAAAGCAGGTTAAATACGTAGCGTGCTGCTTAAAAGGCGGCGTCAGTGCGTGGTGGCTACAACTCTCGCAGACTCGCCTGCGTGAAGGAAGAGGATCAGTTCGTAGTTGGTTTCGTATGAAACAGTTGCTCAGGGGGCACTTCCTACCTACAGACTATGAGCAAATGTTGTATCTACAGTATCAACATTGCTCACAAGGGCAGCGGACCGTCAGCGAGTATACGGAAGAATTTTATAGATTGAGTGCTCGCAATAATCTTCAGGAGTCCGAAGCACAGCTGGTTGCTCGATACATTGGCGGACTGAAAGAACAGATACAAGACAAACTTGAGCTTAATTCGGTTTGGACAATATCCCAAGCTGTTAATTTCGCACTCAAGGTGGAGACCCAACTCGTCCGTCAATCTCGAAGTCATAGTATTAGACGGACTTACACAGAGTCATACGCCGATGCTTCCAAAGGCAATTCAGTAACAGTAAAATCCACTACTACTCCCCGGGTGAGCCTCAGTCCCAGCCCGAGTCCTAATGCAGCTGTTGAAAACAGGACACAAGGCAAAGCACCCGTACCTTACCGTGAAAATCCTTACAGCAAGCCTACTACTCTTAAATGTTTTCGATGTTTTCAACCCGGGCACAAGTCCAATGAGTGCCCGAATCGACAAAGGATTCAACTAATAGAGGGAGAAGCACACGGAGAATTTGAGCCTGTTATAGCAGAACCTGAATCCGAAGTAGGCATTGAAGACATCCACGGTGACGAGGGAGATCCGTTGCTTTGTGTTCTGCAGAAGTTGTTAATAGCACCTAAGACTCCGAATCCGGCTCAGCGTAATGCTTTGTTCAAGACCCGATGCACAATCCAAGGAAAGATTTGTGAGCTTTTCATTGATAGTGGTTGTACCGATAATGTAATCTCTCGCTCAGTAGTCCAGGCCCTACAACTTAAGACCACTAGTAATCCACAACCTTATAAGATAAGTTGGATCCGGAAGGGAATGGAAGTGACCGTCACCGACATGTGCCGGGTTACCTTCTCAATAGGGAAACACTATGTGTGCGAAGTACTGTGCGATGTGCTGGACATGGATATTTCTCATCTTGGGCCGACCATGGCAATTTGATATGGATGCCATCTATAATTGCCGACAAAATGTATATACTCTAAAGTGGAAGGGAAGAAAGCTTCGGTTATGTCCCCATACGGCATCCCACTTTGACAGTAAGGGTGGCGCGGTCTACATCCTTTCGGGCAAGTTGCTAGTCCAATCTCGACAAGACAGTAAGTCCTTAATGGCTATCGTAGTGGCAGACAGCCATCAGGAGGTATCTTCTACCTGTTATTCACATGAAGTAAATAGATTGTTAACCCAGTTTGCAGATTTATTTCCCGCGGAACTTCCTTCCGGGTTACCACCCCTGCGTTCGCTACAGCATCAAATCGAATTTGTACCGGGAGCCACACTTCCTAATCTTCCTTACTACCGCATGAGTCCTAAGGAATACTCGATTCTGCAGTCCATCATTGAAGACTTGCTCAGTAAGCAACTTATTCAACATAGCTTGAGCCCGTGCGCGGTACCTACTTTACTCGTTCTCAAAAAGGATGGACAATGGCGCATGTGCATCGACAGCCGGGCGATAAACAAGATCACCGTTAAGTACAGGTTTCCTGTACCGAGGGTGTCCGATTTGCTAGACCGTTTGTCCGGAGCTGCTGTATTCTCGAAGCTTGATCTGCGGAGTGGATATCACCAGATACGGGTACGTCCCGGCGATGAGTGGAAGACTGCTTTCAAGACGAGGGATGGACTCTACGAGTGGAAGGTAATGCCTTTTGGGCTCTGTAATGCCCCATCAACATTCATGCGGCTAATGCATGAAGTCTTACAACCCTTCCTTGGGAAGATTTGTGTTGCTTATTTTGACGACATCCTCGTCTTTAGTGCTAATATGGTGGATCATGTTGAGCACTTGACCGAAATTTTTAAAACTTTGCAACATCATCAAGTATACTTAAATCTGCCAAAGTGTGAATTCGCCTCTACTAGAGTTCACTTCCTGGGTTTCATATTATCAAGTGCGGGCGTAGAAGTGGATCCGAGGAAGGTTCAAGCCATACAGGATTGGCCGAACCCACAAACCTTGTTTGAAGTAAGAAGTTTTCATGGGCTCGCAAACTTCTATAGAAGGTTCATACGGGGATTTAGCGTTCTCGTCGCTCCTATTACGGATTGCCTGAAGGCTAACAGATTTAAATGGGCAACTGAACAACAAAACAGTTTTGACACACTCAAAGCAACACTCTGCTCCGCGCCAGTCTTAGCACTCCCCAATTTTGAAAAACCGTTCCATGTAGATACGGATGCATCCTCGATAGGCATCGGCGCGGTATTGTCTCAAGACTCCAAGCCTATTGAGTTCTTTAGCGAGAAACTGAGCTCCGCCCGGCAGAAGTGGTCTGCCTATGAACAGGAGTTATACGCCGTCATCCGTGCGTTAAAACAATGGGAGCACTATCTTCTTCATCAGGATTTTGTCCTGTGTAGTGACAATCAAGCCCTCCAATATATTAATAATCAGAAAAACATAAATCGTATGCATGCCCGCTGGATTGTTTTTCTCCAAAAGTTCACCTTCATTTTGCAGCACAAAGCAGGAAAATTGAATCGGGTTGCCGACGCTCTTAGTCGGAGGGCTGCTATGCTTATTAGCTTACAAACTGAGATCACGGGCTTACAAGAAATGAAAGGTCTTTATGAAACAGATACCGATTTCTCACAACCATGGCAGCAATGTGTTGACGGCATGCCCAACAGTGATTACAGCATAAG